CGGACCTGACCTAGGGTGGATTTTACATTGGGTTTTAAATATTCGGAAGACGCAACATTAAAATTCGGTTTAATTCGGTTTTAAGGGGGGGATTGTATATATGTTCTGGTTTTAAATATGTTGTGCGCCGCCCTGAGTCCCTGTCGGGAGAAGGGCGGCATATAAATTAAATTAAATAAATAAATTAAATAAAATAAATATAAGAACAATATGAAAACTTGGTACCCCCCTTTGTGGAAGTAGTAATCAGTCCCACGCTAATTTATGGTTAACAAAGCCAGAGTTTTGTAAGATACAAATGCAAATGCAGCCTTAGCTAGTGTTGTTTTAGACTCTTTGTCTTCCAAGAGAAGCTTCATGTAAAATTAATCTGGTCTTTGACAGAATGGCCTAATGAGGGGTGTTAGCAGCTTACTATGAGTATCTCTATGTGGGTCAATGATTCACTATTGCCAGACTGACAGGGGCAATTTCTTCCTCCATAAATTTTCTGGAATCGGTCCTTCAGTACAACTGAATATAGGAAGGAAATAGTATAAAACTAAGCTTTTTTCAAGATATAATCAATAGATCCAACCATCCAATGCTGGCAGAAACTGGAAGAGATTTCTGTTGTTGAATGTTACATGCCTAAAATCTCTTCCAGCTAATGAAAGTACTATTGCTTTGAAGCCAAGCACTTAAACAAAGCAAATTGGGTTCCCTGTGCCTCAGTCAGGAGAATGATTTCGTTCTGTGGCACAGAATGAGCATCCTGCTGAGAGGAGGGAGACTCAGCTGCCTTGCACATCCCAATGTTCTTGCAGTTTGAGATGTGCCGCCGGAAAGATGGTTTGCAACTTGCATTATTGATCAAGAGAATCAGTACCTCTCTGCCCATTCGGACAGGATAGAGCCAATCTGGCTGGGCCTAAAGACTTATCTAGTCCAGGATTCCACTCTTATATAGTGATCAGGCATTCCCTAATGGAAGCTCACAAGGAGATATATATATATTTATGCAAATGCAAATTGCAAATGTGGATGAAACTTAACAGAGATGATGGGTCTCAAGAAACTATGCACAAATAACATCAGAGCACTGAACAAAGGGATGCTGAGAATAATTATAGTTTTATAGTGTTGATTTCTCTCTCTCTCTCTCTCTCTCTCTCTCTCTCT